AAGAAGATCCAATTAAAAAACAAGAACAATTCATAGGCGTGGCAATATATGCCCGAATGCAAATTTGTTTAACATCAAGGATACCCATTAATTTTATAACATTTGTCCAAAACATGTTTATTTCAATTATTAATTATAAGATCAATATTGATACAGGCCAAAGAGATATGCTCTTGTCAAATGAATACTAAGTGACAATTATATATGCGACAGCTTTCCGTTGTGGAGTACAGACCCAAGACAAGCCGCCAGTTATGCCCTTAGAAAGCTTATTTTGAAGCAAACAGTGGTGATTATTTATCTCCATCCAATTGTCAAGGAGTATATATACTGACTGAAAACAACAATATTGTTGGTTTTAAAATGATAAAAATTCAAAGTACCATATAAAAAGTATTTTACAAGACATTCAAAGGCACAAACTATTTTGCCTAGAAAATCATAAAAATCAAAATGCTATGCTTACAAATAAGTTTCTTCTGTTTTTACCTCCCTTTACGATTATAACAACGATTCACAAACATCTATCACAAAACTGATAATTGTACTTTTACAACGTGATATTACATGCTAAAGATCTATGCTCTACATGTTGTATGTTGGAGAAACAGACTTTTAAAACATGTAAACTATATAATTCTGTGTACATATAAACTGTGCCAGACCTACCAACCCCCACCTACCCACTGGGCACAGCCAATTTTTAATGTCAGTGAACTGATTTTTAGAAAAATAGCAGGGTTCATATGCCAAATAACTGAGATCTGGGATTTGTACCTTTAAATAACAATACATAATATGAAAATAAGTTTTCTATAAGCGTGACCCCTCGGGCAGGATCAATATTGACCCCAGGAGCATGCTTTATATAAATTTTGTAGAAGTCAACATGGGATGCGTCATGCAAAATATCTAAGCGTAACATAAATATAATATTTGGGCATATGAAAATGGATTGTTATGACCTTCTTTGAATTAAAGCTTTTAAATTCAGAAATTTTCAAAAATGCAGTGGGCTAAACTTATTAATTTGTTTTTCTTGCTATGAACATATATCAGTCTTTCAATTAGAGATAGACTGCCCACAATATAGCAAAACAGTTTTCATGTCCAAAGTTTTGATAAAATAACTAAACAAATTGACATTTTATATGCTTCATATACAGCTTATTGTTATTTAGTCAATTTAAATATCTTAAGTAACATCAGTTTCAATTAATAATATTGTCTCATTTACAAATAATTAAATCATATCAGCCTATAAAATCTCCAATTTATTATAGTCTTAACAGGAAAAAATATTAATACAAAAACAACAACAATAGATAAATACAGAATCCCTAAAGAAAGCCCAACACGACAAAATTGAAAATGTTGCAGGCTCGGTTTGATTGAGCCTGTTCATGGACGGTACTGGAAAGTGCAAGTTACCATCCACGCCCCCTAGCACCGGCTTAAGCAGAATTCAACATTTAAACATGAAATAGTAAAATTTTGAATTTAGAAACATCCGCAGATGTGTTCATACGGCGGTTATCATGGAACCTTCAATGTGACACAGTAGTGCCATTCCATGAAAAGCGGCGTATGGTCCCCAATTAAAAAAATGTGTGTGCCCTAAACGAGAAAACAATGGGCGGAACTAAATAAAATGGAATTTTGAAAGGGGATCAGAGGTTATGAAGCCTGCGTATCACAGATAAGACGTCAAAACACAAATTTAAAAAGCAGGCAACATATCCTAAGGGTGATTCAACATTATTCAAGTAGGAATATTGGAACCACCCAACTAGAAAATGCCGAAAAATTGAAACTGAAAATACCACAAGCACAACAATAATGTCGTGCTGAACGATCTTCAAGGACCGAAAATATAACATCATTGATTAAATGTACGGGGAGACTTTTTACAGCCGCCACACGGCACAAATAACACGGATGTGATCATAAAATAGATAAATACAGAATCCCTAAAGAAAGCCCAACACGAAACAAAATTGAAAATGTTGCAGGCTCGGTTTTGATTGAGCCTGTTCATGGACGGTACTGGAAAGTGCAAGTTACCATCCACGCCCCCTAGCACCGGCTTAAGCAGAATTCAACATTTAAACATGAAATAGTAAAATTTTGAATTTAGAAACATCCGCAGATGTGTGTTCATACGGCGGTTATCATGGAACCTTCAAAATGTGACACAGTTAGTGCATTCCATGAAAAGGCGGCGTATGGTCCCCAATTACAAAAAAATGTGTGTGCCCTAAAACGAGAAAACATGGGCGGAACTTAAATAAAATGGAATAGAATGGAAAATAACTATATAAAGTAATAGATTTTTGGTAATCAAAGGAAGGTTAAATAATATATATATCAAAATCTAAGAATACAACGCTTGATAAAACATTATAAAGCAATAAATTTTTGAAAATAAAGGAAGGTAAATATATATTGGTAGGAAAACATATTAATAAATTCATACATTTAAAATCTCAAAAATTGGCATTATCATTTGGTGATGGTACAAATTAATAATATTTCAACTGATATACCAAAGCAAATGGTTTAAATTTAACCTTAAGAATCTAAATTATTTCCATTATTGATTGACTCTTTATTCTCTGGAATGTTATTTTATAACCAACTTGTTGAACAGATATGCTGTGATAATCTAGCAATATTCTCAATAACATATATATAAGGGAACTTCTGCTGAGATTTATTTAAAAAAAAATAACTACAGAACCACATTCTTTCTTCAATATCAGAATCCTTTATTTTTTTTTTTTTGCCAAAGAGTTATTACATTTTGATTAACATGACTAGCATGGCTAGATAAAATTACTGTTTAAGCATATTGATATGAGTCTCCCAATTAAAGATGATCTAATTCAATCTCCCCTTTGCACAGCTACATAAAAACTCTTTAAAAAACAAAGTAGTAAGAAGAACAATTATACATTAATTTTTTATTGATTCAAGTGTAGTCGTACGTTCAGAAGCATGGATGGAGGGGGACGAATAATCTTGAACCTAACATGCGCCCTCAAAACTCAGTATTATCATTAACATGTACTCCAAAATGATAATTATATTTCCAAAAAAAAAATCAAGGGCTGAACAGAATGAAAAACCGTTACAAACAATCAACCAACAGGAAAATCATTTTTCAAAAAAAGATCACAATCTATTAAATGCCCTATAAAAAGGAAAACCTAACAAGCGTCTCAAAACATCTGAGTTTTATCATTTTGCCTGTATTTTTGCAACTTTTTATAATTTTAAAACCGGATTGACATAACCTTTTTATGATAAATTTTCATCAAAGATAGACGTTATATATTTTCAATGTTACATAAAACTGAATGCCTACAAACAATATGTTCAATACATGAATAATCAAAATCATTAACATATTGATTTTTCTTTTCTTTTAATGATCCACAATATTTTCATCAATGTTAACAATCCTTTTTCTATTTAATCCATCATAAAGTGAAATGAGGAATACGGACAGAAGCTTGGACACTCAGGACTATAATACACCATTTTGCACAGATATGATGTGATAATCAAGAAATGTCCTTAATAACATAAATATAGAGGTTTATGTTGATATTTATTTCTAAAAAAATGGCTACAGAATCAAATTCTTTTGATTTCAGAATCTGATCTGTTTTTTTTTTCAGCTTTAGATTTTTTGCCCAAAATTTATTCCTTTTTTTGTTAACATGACTAGATAAATATTGCTATTTCAATATATTTATATGAATCTTCCAATTTAAGATGGATGACCTACTTCGATCTTAACGCAGCTGCATACAAACATTTAATTACAACAAAGTCAAAGGAAGAAGACATTTACATTAATTTTTTACTATTTAAGTCTAGACGAACAATTAGAAGCATGAATGGGGGGGAATAATTTCCAATTTCCCCGCAACATATAAATCATATTCTAATTTGCTAAAATTTGTAAACTAACCAGTAAGGTTTCTAACTTCAGAAACGTCTTGTTAGAAACACAGAAACCATCAGACACCCTTTTTAAAAACATTTTTGGTACAATTTATCCAAGTATTTTGCTAACCATAGGAGTCTATGCCACCAGACTAGGGCCAAGTATCTTTAACCAATTTTTTGAAAATTGTTTTGTAATAGACGTCAACTTCATTTCAAACCTTATAAATGAGTTATTTTCCCGGTTTTCGAAATAAACAAATAAATCAATTTAAAATTGACCAGTCTTAAAATTTCAGTTATATATTACAACACAACGGAAATTCAAATTTCATTGACTTTTAAAACAGAAAACGTTCAAGTGTTTCCCTTTTTTCCACTAAATTTTTTAAGCGTTTTATTAAAGTGGATTTGTTATTAAACGCGAAAAAGCTGAGATGCTGCCTAAGGAGAGCTGTAGCGCTCTTACGTGCCTAAGATTAATTGAAATTAAAAAAAAAATAATAACAAATATATGTCTAAGGCTAACATGTGTGAGACTATTCATATTTAAGTTGGCGCCGCCATTTTGAAAATCTTAGACTGGTTTTATATTTGAGCAATATTAGATTTTAGAAGCTTTTGAAGGAATCATTTAAAATAAGGCGACTGCTGATAGAAAACGCAACTGTCTTCTGTCCTAAATAAAAACTCAAGTCTGATGCAGTAAATATATATGATAACCTTTGGTAAGAATTGAGGAAACGATTATTAGCATTAAAAATAACTTATTAATATTCAGTTTGATAAAAATCATTTAAAAACGTAAAAACATTACCTTTGATTTGAGATTAACAAAGTGGCTGACGAGATAATCGGAAACACTCAAATACTTTGATGATAGGCTGAACACCATTTATTCATTCGTGTCTTATTAAATGTACAAAATAGCTACATGTACTCATCTTTTACAAAGTCTATGGATCTTGCTTATTAATAAAAAAATTGCTTGCGAGGGCTTACTGTGTCAGAAATAGCACCTTATTTTGTATTTAATGAATTCATACCTCTGATAAAGAGACGTTTGTGAAAACCAATTTGGCAAATTGGTTTGGTTTGAAGTTTACTATCCACTGTAGATCACTGTCCAAAATTGTCCTGAATGGGTAACTTAAGGACGTAATAATAGAGTCTTTATCTACGTATTGTACGTGACCAAAGAAAAATCCATCTTTGCGTTTAGCTCTCGGGAACGACATCATAATTCCTGTGTAAAATATGAAAAACATAGTTCAAAAATAAGCTTATATGGAGGATCATATGCCTGATTGATAGGATTTCTCATGACTTGCATAATAAAGACAATCTTCAGACAAGTTTAGCAAAGCATAAAGGCCCAGTGTATTGCATTAAATAGAGAACATAAGTTTTAGTATTTGTCTTTATAACCTATAATGGAAAGAAGCCTGAATCAAGCAATCGAAGGAAAAGTAAAATTTGTAAAATCTGACCGCAACTTGAGCAAAATTCTTAAATTGTGAACTATTTTAATCCGGATTTCATACAGGATATTCTTATCAATCCATATACTCAAAAAGTATGTTTTTAAATAAAGCGTAGATTACATTTTTACCAAACATACTTCAATAATGGGAAGAAGTTGCTAAGAAACATTTATTTAAATTGTGTTTTCAATTTTTTCATTCATAAGGCTTATAATGAAATCATTAACTAAGATCTATAATATGCAAAATCAATTCTGATACCACTGCAGCTATAATACAGATCTGATACTTATAACACTAATACTTCATGCTGATTTATTTAGGTCACATCTGCAGCTTACAAGAAGGTAGGCTCTATTTAATAATTATAGCTCACAAGCGTATAAAAAGATACATGTACTTTTGAAAAAAGACTTTATTACGAAATGTTTACATACCAATGTTCTGTAGTTTGGCATAACAATGTCCATCATCGGTAATATTCTTACTTTTCCATAATCCAAAAGGACTATACATGTAGTGATTACAAATTCCGACTGGTTCGATTGATCCATTTGGTCCATGATGTTCGTTATCATCTTCTATAGTTATGTTAGACATAGTTTTAAAACTGGCAACACTACAATTTGTCTGAATACTACAAAGTTCAATACATCTTGTAAGATTCGTATTCAAGACAGTTGAATCTCCAGATAACAATTCATATTCGACATGTAGCATTTCAGATGATTCGGTGCTGTTGATGTCAGTTATACCTGATGAATGAGAGATAATGTATATAATATCAAGTATAGTAGTATTTTAAGAATTTCTTTACTCGAATTGTGTTACAATATATCATTCGTTAATATTAAACAAACATACATTCCTTAATTGTTAACTTACGTGTCAGTTTACAGCCAAACAACTTGAAATTTAAGCATCTTGATTTGCTTGTTGGCATTTCAAATGAATGTTTGAACTTTGAGTATCTTCCATTGATTGGTCTCGGCAGAATGAACACTTGATTGCTAGTCCAAAAGCTTTCAGGTGGGAATATTCTAAATTCCTGAAATAATGAATCACCTATACACGTGTTTCAACATTTTTTATGTTTCATTCTTCGAGTTAATTGTACGTATCAACGTCCTTTTTGACAACGGCTTGGTTTTAATGATGCAATATTAGTTTAAAATCAGTCTATAAATATTTATACCAAGATAAACCATCAGAACTGCAATACGAATTTCTTGAACTTTATAAGTATTGCTAAATATAAAGTTAAAGGGTGTAAGTGTGTTGTAATGTACACATGTATGACATCCAGACAAAAGATCAAAGGACACAATCGCTTGAATTGAAGTAACCTTACTAGTTTTATCTAACAATGCAAACTTAAAGCAATTGATGTAACATTACATACTACATAATTCTGCCATTAAGTGTCCACTTTTGAAAGGTTTCTCTAATATATTAGTTAACAAAGCACTACTTTAATTTGTTACTCTGCTATTTCGGACAAAGAACACTGTCGCGTTTCCTTCATATTCAATAACATTTTAACGATTTCAGTTAGCGCAGTTAATATTTTTCATATATCAGGTGAAATACACGTTTTGGTGTCTTACAGCATTTGGATCAAAATTCAAAATATAGACAAACCTTGAATAAATAAATAAATAAATAAATAAATAAATAGGCACTACCATTAAAGTTATCTGGAATACTTTACCATTAACAATGAATAAAAACAACGAGCTCATATATGTATTAAAGCTGCAGCCGCCAGATGAGTAACGTTTGATTAATAGAGAATCAACCTTGAGAAAAATGTACTAAAATTATAAGAAAAGTAGAAATATTTACATTTTAAGCAATTGATTTCATGTTATATACAATTATGTGAGAATTTTTGCAGTAGTTATCACCAAATATTTCCTGTGTGGCTATCGCAGTAAGGAATATTTTTGCATATTCTGATCTAATTCTGGAATTTTTCGTAGATTTTAAGTTCTGTTTTTTTATGTGTAAAGTACTTCCTTAGTACGCTTGACACAATGTTTCTTTTAAAAACATTTTTTAGTTTTATAAAAGGTACCATGAATCGGGAGGCATGCTGCTTTAAAATGTATACTTAGGTTTGTTGGTTTTTTTTTCTTTTTTTTCTTTTAAATATGTTTACACAAACGAGTATACCATGTCCTTGTATAACTGTAATGTATCCTTATTGTTGCCGAAATCTAAACTGAAAGTGGTCCACATGTCACAGTCTTTTGAAACGTAAACACCAATTCCTTCTATTGTTGTAACATCTATTAAATCCACCTTAATTGATAAAGATTATTTGTACTAAAATTGTTGACATGTGTCTGAATTATTTTATTTTTACAAATAAGGTATCTTAACAATAAGTATGTACTCGTACGATTTTTTAAGTCGCAGAAAAATGATGCAAGTACATCAGAAAAATACCAATTGTTAAAACACATTACCTCGTGCTTACACACTTTAGACAACTTAGCCAAAGAAGCAATTACCTTGATTGTACTTCTAGTTATGAAGTGTGTTCTTTCAACCGTAACAATGATTAATATTGTCATACGTTTGTAAAAAGTACTGCGATGAACTAGTTTAAAATGTGAAAAGGTTGTTTAAATAGTTTTGACGTATTTTGATATCTCATTCACATCACGCTCATGTGAATTAAAATCACTAAAATTATAAAGTTAGGAATTTTAACATCTGCACATATCTTAATTTTTCTAAAAAGAGATATTTTCGATATTTTCACAATCACCTCCATATTTTCAAAACCGGAATAAGATTGTATTATAAAGATAATATATTTATTAAAAGCCCTTCCTACATAAATTGTCCCCACATGTTCTAAGCTAGTATAACTTAAATAGTTTTTATCCTTTTACTTATAGAAAGACTAGTTTCACAAATACAATAAATTGTAAATAGTTAATTAAACCTATTTAATAGAGATTACAAATTGCCAAGACAATCTGGATTACTTTTCTTCATATACTTAAAGGTAAGAGTTCAAGAATATATAGATAAAATATTGACAAAAATATAATCACTTTAATTTTACGTACATGTAAGGAGTTAAGAAATAGTTTTTCTTCTAGTCAAATAAAGCTGCAGGAAGAATGGTTTCTCAATGCTTCCACATTGGAAATTTTAAAACGTTATAATACTTACAAGCACTAAAACACTCTATTCCCGCTTAAAGTATTGCTCAATGTATCATCGTGTATTTTTTATGAGAGAATATCTTTACATTAATTATACAAACCAAAACCCAAGGTGTCAGATCTGTAGCATCATGAATCCAACCAGTAAAAATAGTGTTTGTATTTGTAGGTATTTGTTCTGTGGTTCCAGAAGAAAGAGTGATCTGAGTGTTTGGTACCTGTTTGTCGTTTATTTCAATACTTTCAAAACATGTCTCACCATATTCTACAGACAAAGAATAAGAAGTATCATATTCAAACAAAAACAAAACATATCGTTAAAAGGTTTGAAACCGGTAAAATGATTTGCACTGTATAATAAATGAAAGAGCATTGAAAATGGATAATTGATTGCAAAGTGATATTCAAGTGCTTGGATAACGTCAGTGTTCCATATTATATGAGAACTAAACAGAATGCTTTGAGGTTTCTTGGTCTTAGAATATCATATTGCCAAAATCTTTCCAGGCAGTAATTGAAACACGTAAAGAAATAACTCATTGGCGGCATTGAAGAGTGGTTAACACACCAATGTAAAAATGCTTGCCGACTTGGTCAAACCTCGCAAGTGGGAAGCCATTGTGTCTGTTAGCAAGCATCTTTAAACTCTTTGTCTTGTACTAGTTGGTTCCAGGAACGAATTCCAGATTGTTTTAATACGATTAAAGCTTCCAAAGAAATCTAACTGAATTAGACAGAAGTTTGTAAATCTTAACTAAATCATTCATTCCCATATTAGAATATTTAAATGTTAAGATATGAAATTTGTTAAAAAAAATGGATTCAAAAGTAATCAAAATAAGTCACCAACTTAATGAATATGTTTGCTATTTTTCAGTTTCCATGTTAGAATACTTATTTCTATCGAATTTGTAAAAGTAATCAATGGTGAATCATTCACAAACAATATTCTTCAGAGATTGTTCTTTTAAGCTTCGTGAAGTTTACTTACGTGCTTCTATACTCGATACATACACCTGAAATGTCATGGTGGCTGTTATGGTTGTATTCAAAGCAAATGTAAAGAAACGACCTCGTGTTCTCCTGCAAGTTGATAGTTCAAATACATTTAAGTTCTTTTGCCATATAATTCATAAACTAGAAATGTGTCCATATGACACAGATGCCCCCACACGCCACTGTTCTGTCAATCTTAAGGTTGTTAATCCCTGGAAGTTTAAGCAAAATCTGCCATCCGGTTTAAGAGGAGTTGCGTTCACAAAATTTCTACATAGTATATAGTGAAAAATTCTACAAAGGGCCATAATTCTGTTAAATTTGGTCGCAGCAAAAATTCCTTCCTTTACTACCATTTACACATTAAGGTTGTTCAACCCTGTAAGTTTAAGCAAAATCTGCCATCCGGTTTAAGAGGAGTTGCGTTCACAAGATTTCGGGACGTACGGACGGACGGACTGACGTACGGACTGACGGACGGATGGACAAGTGCAACGCTATATGCTCCCACATTGTGGGGGCATAAAAATGAATAATGTCTGACAAATTAAGACCGATTAGTTTCTTTGATGCCTACGGCCTTCGCGGTCAATTCATACTCACAAAAACTCCTAATCACAGATACCGATACTGTTTCTTAAATGAAACGTTCAGCGCTATTATATTCATAATATCAAACACGTCAGTAATTACACTACAGAAATCATGTTTGCTACATTCATCACTGTAATACAGTAGATACGAGATGAGTAAAACGGTGACAAAACGACAAAAGGAATACATTTATGGAGCTCCTACCTAAGGTGACATATTCAACACATTTTTCCGGAGCTTTATTCGTTTATTCGAAATATTAATTTGAAATTACGAAATATTAGTTCATGTTTACGAAATATTATTTACTTTTTACGAAAAATTTCTTCGTTTTTTATTAAAACGTAACTCGTTTTTTACAAAATATTAATTCGTATTATGAAATATTAGTTCGTTATTAAGATGTGATTTTACGAAATATCAATATGATTTGACAAAATATAAATTTATTTGTAAGAAATATTAATTCGTTCTAACGAAATATTAATTAGTTTTTACGAAAAATTAATTTTACATAAAATAAATGATTATTTGTTTTTTTTTATGAAATCATATTGAAGGTCATAGTGAGCTTTTGGAAAACACCTACTAACCTCAGTCAAAATTACAACCAAATTTAACGATTATAAGACTAATGGTTCTCAAGCTATTGTACATGTTGTTGTTGTTTTTTTGGTTTTTTTGAGTGACAAGTCATTCTCAATCCAAAGTATGGTATATTTCCCTTTTTAAAATACATATTATTTACAGCTGGCAAAAAACCCACAAAATTTATCTTTCTGACATATATATTTTCAAAATAAGAAACAGGCTATATTATAACTTTTTTTTATTATACACACTAGTTAAACTTAAAAGGGCTGGCCTCCAGATTTTTACTCAAATATATTTCCATTTAAATTTTTGGTTAAAACTTTATTTATCCAAATGTGTGTCTGTAGAAATGAGTATTTCATCCTTTTATTTTGTTTTTCCTCGGTATTTTAGGCCTGTTTGAAATTGCAAATTGTGTGGACATGAAATAGAAATGGCATATTCCTGGAGAAATAAACTATACACGTATTTCGAGTATATTTCTTTTCTGCACTTTATTTCTATTTTTAACTTGTAGACTTTACAGTACACGTGGAAAAGATAAAACATATAATGTAGTGGATTGTGATTGGCGCCTTATACTTGCGATATTACATGTTGTGGTCTTTTTTGTTGTATGTTTATAAGGATTTCAGGTTTGACATGTAAATTGAATGTTATATTAACAAGCATACACTTCCTATTTAGACCAAAGATACTTAAAGAATTAAACGCTTTGTTAATTAATATTGATAATGCATTTAACTACCAGTCCTTTTAAAAATATATTTTTTTGAAAAAATTTTTTTTTAAATTATTTTGTAATCATTTTAAATTGAAACTGTATTTTTAAGTCACGTTATCCTTCCTTTTTACATTGCAAGTGTTTGCCCGACATGTTTGAAAAAAGTATTGATTGTTTTCCCAAAAAGTGTCACCCTCTTGTGTGTCCTTTTTTACTTTTTCGGAACTGCAAAAGAGTACCATCATTATTTTTAAAATCACCTTTTTTAAAATTTTAACAAATTTGGAAAGCGTTTCAAAATGTACCTGTAAGTCTGAAAAACTGTTAAGGTTAAATATCTAATGTTCATATATAATAAAGATAAAACGTGCCAATGATATATACAAGTATGTAATGAATGGTATCATTTTTACCAATAAAGTAAGATAGAAATTACCTTAGATATACTTTTCCAGGAAGAATGGTATTTTCGGTGTTACAAACCGAAGATTCCTCGAAATTCCCAGGCACATCATGTACAAAACATTTAAAATATGTATCTCCCTGAAGAAAAAAGCATTCCTGTTTAATATCTGATTGAAAATGACCTTAAAAATAATGCAATCAACACACTTATAAATGTTTTATTTATTAAGGTACTATGAATTTCAAATTATTGATCTTTATTATGTTTTTCTTGATTCGTTGCTTTAACCTTCTGCACATGACATGTTTCATTGTTATTTCATTTAACAATTTACTGGATGTCAGAGCAAGTGTGAAAAATCCTTATATCAAAAATGAAAGTGATGTTTATTATTGTTAAAAACTACGTTTTACGGTTCTATAGAACAAAACCACATTAATTGTCTTTATCAATTAGGAAATATCACACAGTTTTAACACACTATATATGGAGAAAAGTCCTTAAATCTATTTAACTCTTTTACCATTCACTAGCTTCAACATAGGATTAGATACACAATTCTTAAAAATATCATAATATAAATGTGCATTTGAAACTTCCCAGAGCACGTGCATGTTATACCTCTTAATTCTTTTTATATATATATTGTTGGGTTTGCTTAATATCTCGTAAACGTCGCCTGGTCTGCTGACGTCATTTAATTTGACCAAATTCACACGTTAACAAAAATGTGATTTGCGCAGCTCAACGAAATCGACCATACAGATAAATTTAGTTCTGTATCGCCAGCACTTGTTTAGAAGTGTCATGATCATAAAAAGACTGGTAACAAAGCCAGAGGGAAACAAATATATGGGAAATTGGTTTGCATTTATTTTAGAGATAAATCTTACGATTTGCTGAAGGAGTGAATTAACGCTTAACACAGCATATCATTTTGTGATATTTTCGTCATCAACGGCCATTTTTTTTTCGTTCACAGAATTAATATACTAGACAAATTCAACATAACACGCACGGAACATGCCTCGTATGTGTTTTTTATTTTTAAAGAAGATAAATTAACAAGTGAAGATAACTGAATTGTTTTAATACTTAAGGATGTCATCTAGTATTAAGTAATCGAACAGTCCGACACTAAGGTCAATGTCCCCGATGCTAAACATATTTTTAATACGTTTGCTTATTAAAATCATCCTTTATTAATTGACTGGTGTGTTACTTATTCAGTAGATAATTTTTGACTGGTGTCTTATCCCCGATTTACCTCTGGATTTTGCTTTTTACAGCTAAAATAGAAAATATATGGACGGTAGGCTTAGTCAAATAGAAAAATGATGCCCGCCAACATTGAATTCAACAGGGAACTTGCGGTGTAATATTCCAATATTACAATTTTCGATAAGTCTTTGGATTACACCACTTTCAGCGTTTTGATTGTCGAGGAGAGTTCATCAAAATAATATGACGTCGATAAGGCCGCTTGACATAGGTCGCTTCCCCATCGTTGTTACGGCATTTATGTGATAGTTAAACGCCATTTGCACTTTTTAATGAAGTTTTAAATAACTGTTTAAATGGTATGTATAACTACATACTTGAAAAATGTATGTGGATCTATGTATCTTAATGGTTATAAAATTTGTAAAGTAGAATTTTGCACATTATCTGACGAACTTGTCCAATATTATTTTAATCAATTCATCTTCAATAAAAGGGGTATAACGAATCTTCAAGTTGGTCGTCTAACAAAAAGGTTTGGGCCTTGTAAAAAAGCAGGTATTCAGACATATTGCATTGGCATTAGTTAATATATATGAAACATACTCACCAATTTTGTAGACTTGATGTCAATCATAACTACCTCAAGTGAACGCATACAGTCAATGTAATACCATTCAAAATCTATATCTGAAATAAATCAAACAACACTTTCAGTTTTCTATCTGAGATTATTATATATTGAATATGCCTATAAAAGGAAACAAACTTCTATAAGAAGTACATGCGTAATTTCACTGTCTCTGATTATTTCATTATTTCGTGGATATTCTAGAACAAAGATTGGAATTAGATTGAAGTTCAGCAATACATACATATAAGGATCGTTACTCATGTAATAACACTTGCAAATGTAAAATTATGTTAAATCATACCTTGATGCAAGCTGTAGAGGGTTCGTTGATTTAGAATCAACTCTGAAATTAAATAAGGCTATACTAAGCAAATAAGATTTGAAATAAAATTCATAAATGATTTGAATTCTGTATCTTAACAGTGCCTATATTTTGTTAACAATAATCATTACACTATCTGCAGTATATCATTTTTTTCACTCTATTGTACTGTTTCGATTTTGGATTTCTGAATAATGTTCTTTTAAAATGTCGTTTATCAAAATGCATTACATACGAATTTAATCGAATGAATGATTGCAAAGTTAAACTTTTAATACTCTGAAAATAATTGTTCAAAAAGAGAACTAACTTATATTCAACATTTAATGATGGTGCTTTATATCTGGACAATATTAAATTTCATGTTTTACTGAAAATACTTTAAAGATGTATGAGAATACATACCTGTTGCCATTTCATAGTCAAGGCTTTGGACTAGAAAAAATTAAAAAAGAGAGAGGAAAAACATTTGAACCGTTAGTACGGAAATCGTGAATATGTTTTCTTTCCATAAAATAAATTATGTTTAATATAATGGTTAAAATAATTTCACAAACAATTATGTTAATATACGTTAATGCAATTAATATTTAAATAATCTTAGACAATTCGTTAGTAGATATGTAGTTCTAAGTCGGCCTGAATAGAGGTATGCGATTCCTGATCCATTGTGGGATTAAGCACCAATGTAAAAATAATACTATCCAGTCCGTTGAAAAGTTGATTTTTTAAAATAATTCTTTAATTTTCTTTACTTCAGCGACAATAGAGTGCGTACAAGAACACTCAACAAGTAAAATCGGCAGTATTAATAATTTCCGCTTGTAAAAGGCGTGAGTGACTTTTCTAATTTTTTCCTGTTAGAATCGAAAAAAAATATTGGTCTGAGCATGGTTATCGGCAATTAAACACTGATTTGACGTTTTGGGCGAAATATTGACCACTCGGGACCGTGGCCTTCATGGTCCCTTCCTTATGAGAAATGTACAAAAAATATGTAAGATCTGTCAAAATAATCAAACAAGTCGAGATATGAACAATAACTGTTTTGGAAACTAATGTGTCAAAACAGTAGAACCTATGTTAATTTAACCTGATCTAAAATCTAAATTATAGTATCTCGCAAGGTAATGGTGACATATGTTACTGGTAGTAGTTTTTCAAAATAATACAATAAGATACTTCTTCACTTTTTGTATACTTATATGATCAAACTGTACGATTTCTCGTACTCAGAATTGCGATATGAGACAATATATATAGCATTTATACGTGTGTATATCCATCTAAATATAACAGCAATTAAACAACATGATTAATTATGCGAATTTAAATTCCGTTCGAAGTCGCCATTAACGATCTAAGGATCTAAGAGTCTCATAATTGTCTCAAAAATTTTGAACAATACATTAAAAGTAAGGAAATTAAAATTGTTATTCAAACAGGAATAACTTTTATCCAAAGTAATGATCTATATCGATGATATCGTGGCATGATTGTTAATGATATAATTAGGTAACGTCAGATTTTAAAATATATGTACATTTGTACTTTGACCTTTCTTTTTATTAAGTACGTTTGTGTGAGTTTTCATAAAGACATATGTGTAAAGTTAAAACAGTTCGATAGATTTTCTTTATCTTAACATTATGTAAGAATATGATAACAGAAACATTTTAAGCGGAATAAAATGGAGACAAATCCAACCCAAGATAATGAGTTATTGAAATAAAAATGTATTGAATCAACCGATCTATTAAAATACAATTCTACTTCTCATACTGTAAAATGAAAAACAAAAATTATAGGTTTTCATTGGCGACAGAAATAATAATGTATTAAATGATCATAAGGAAAATAAATCTATTCTAATCTCAATTGCAATAAAAACAAATGTACTATGTAATAATCAAGTGATTATCTACCTAATAATGTATGCTCAATAGCCTAGTAAACAGACGTAAAATGAATCATTGAAATAGATAATATGGTGCAAAAACCGCCAAATATAATTCAATATAATTTATTCTTATTTATTCATATATTGTGGGATCATTAAAATTAAAAATTGGGAAAAACTAACATTTCCCCCCCCTGGGGGTTTTGTATTTTATATCGAGGTTAGAAGCTGACCCCAAAGGACTAGTAAAAAAGGGGGTGCCAAACTGTAAAAAAAATGCTAAATTTACAACCACAAGCTTTGAAAACGATTTACAAAAATAAAATTATTTTTTAAAATTTTTTTTTTTCATTAAAAATTTTTAAAAAAAAAATTTTGTTTTTAAAAAATATTTAAAAAAAAAATTTTGTATAGTTGAAATCGGTCGATCACGACAAATTCGACAAGTTTTTAAACATAATTTTAGCAAGTTTAAGATATATGCCAATTATCTATACTTTTATGATTCTAAAATTATTTGATATTGTGTCCAAAATGAAAATAACTAATTGATGTTATTATTGACTTAAAGATTTTTCTTTAAGTTTATTCGAATGATCAGTATAGTAGGTGCCCGTTGATTGGTCTCATGTGTCGTGATTGATCCATTTACTTTCGGATTTTGAGCTTAAACTCATCGTACATGACATTTGATTTAATATGATGAAATGATTAAGTTTATCTACTTTCCGAAATAAAAGGTAAGTTAAATGTAAATGATAAAACTTGATAAAATACTTATTTATTTAAAGCTGCATTTTATCAATTTTTTTAAAACAGAAATAGCTAAAATTGTTTAAAGAAAGGGAAAGGGGTTTCATAGCGACTCCCGGTCTTAATTTTGTGTCGAGACGACCAAAATGACTTTATAACTTTTTAAATCAGTAACTTCATTGTGGCGTAATCGAGGGTATTGTCCAACAACATTGACCTGGCACTCTTGCATTTGAGCCCATAGTCGGTAAATTCTGTAAACGTTACTATCTTTTTGTATATCGATATGAATCGTTAAATGGCCTAAATTATAAATCCCTCTTAGCACAGTTGTTACGGACTTTCACTTCAAGAATATAGACGTACAGTTCGAATCCTGGTTTAGCCTCTTTCATATATTTTCTTATTTTAAAATTGTTATTTCTCTCTGAACTTGTGCAAAACGCTTTGATTTTTTGTGTGTTCATTTCTATCTGTGTAGTATTGTCAATGTGTATTATAAACGCGCTGTACTTTCTATTAATTAAAGATAATGTAAAGAAAAATCCAAATGAATGTATAAAAACCACTTCTTAACACGTATCCTTAAAACCAGATTTTGTAGGACGATTTCAAATTAATTCTTGCAAGTAAATTTCAAAATAAAATAAAAAATGCATGTCCTCATAACATGGTGTTGGTAAGGTATCGAACCAGAGAACTTCAGATCAATAGTCAGGCATCTATACCAATACACCACAACTCATTGATATATGAAGTTAACCAAGATATCGATTGATTCGTTAGATACAACTGTTTATCACCTAACCTTTACGAAAATAAATGAAGTGCCAGGTCATTATTGTTGGACAATACATTACCTATTTACATGTGAAACTCCGCCTATGGGCCATCCGAACATCAACAGAAAATCAACAAACATGCCTTTTAGTATCAGTCCGAATTTAACGGTATTGTATTTCCGCATTATAAAACGAATGTTTTCATAATTTTATCCGTTGAAAACCCCTGTATAACAAAAGGTCTTATGTACCGCGAAATCTTGACGGCAAAAATGATTACATGGGAAAATCCTACATTTGCTTTTAACAGCTATTGATTTTTCAAAAGACTAACACTGTGACGTAACGCATACACAGTCTTCAGTGTGCATGTTAAAATTCGTATACGGACTATAGTTTTACCGTGGGGTTTTCCTTTAAAATTATATTTTCTAAACAGTATTTGATAGATTTTACAACCATACTGATAAAAAGGTTTCGAAACGTGTAGACTGCTTGGTTTTATTAGGCGGACGGCAAACCATTTCTAACATAAGCTTTATCTGACAATCAAATAATAAACCGGAAATTTTAAGAATGTAATATTTAAGATAGAATTTAACCGTGAATAAAGATTATTTACCTTTTGGGTTAAAGAAACAGTGAGTCACTCCCTGAGACACCGTTGTTACGCTGAACTGGGAGCAATTTGTATCTGCCTCCTGTCAAAATATATGTGTTTTTTTTTCAACTGATATAGAAAAAAGCCATGTTCAATGCAACATTTGATATATGGCAAAACTTTACAAAGGCTTTTACAAAATCGATTTCAGTATACAGTGATGCGTTTATTTCAAGACCAAGATGGAATATGACGCAAATTGTATATAAAGATTACGTTCAAATAGGTTTCAACTAAACTGTGTAATATAATACTTGTATAATAAAGAAAATATATCAAATGTCGATTTAGTAATTTGCCTTTTATTGATTTGATTTCAGATATTATTAAAGTTACTTCAAATTATCACTGATAGAAAAATAAAAGCCCTTGCCTTTTCAAGAATGAAATCAGTCTCCAACAATCTAAATGTTTCATTTGTATGAACGTATTCCATGTTCAGCCAAACTCTTCACTTTTGCAAAATTGAAATGTTAATAAATGTTAAATAAACATTTTCAGGACTGACCTGAAATGAACAGAAATATCATGTTTTATCTTGTATTCATTTTGAACAATAGGCAGTATGAGCAAACATACGTACGTCAAAGTGAAGGAAAAAGCAGCGAACACATATTCAAGAACACGTTTTAAAAACGATTTCTAAATAAGAGAAAAACAGATTTCCAAAATATTTAATTTTTCAAACGATTTTAATGTCCTTGTTTACATTTTCTAAAAAATGTAAATCATTGGTCAGCATTGGTCAAGCTGCTCTTTTTAGCGTTTCAGCATTTAGTTACAGTTTTACAGTGAACTACTATTTGTATATAGTCCCCATTACCCACCCTTAGTCAACATTAATATTCTTTTTTCATATATTATTGCAATTTCAGCACTATTTGCTCCGATTATTAAGCGTATTGCATGTTCTTAATTCATAAAAACATCATAATAACTCATGCTTGTCTTTTCTATAAACTTTATTCATTTTTAAAGTAATATTTTTCCTTAAAAGATTAGTACTGGAAACACAACCCTAGTATATTCGTTAGATATTTCGTTATTTTTAAGATGTAACAGACTTTATTATCATGCAATACTTAGAATTATATTATCAAAAGTATGTTGTATTGTATAAATCCGCTTTTTCGAACAATTGTTGACAAAAAAGTTAGTTAATACTTTTTACAGACAAACAAACAAGTTTACAAAAATGTTATCCACGAACCTTCTTCACTCACTGCAATATCTGGAACATGACCATGCTGCACAAATTCAGTGACAGGAAAAGTTCTGGTGGATTCTTCAAATTCTAGAAAAATCATGATACAAAGACACCGTTGGATTTTTTGATATATTGAATATCAGATTAATCTGCATTTTAAAGTATCTATAACGATAAACATAGCAGCTCAAATGTAACATTGATTGAATTTAATAAAAGTGATATATGACCATAAATGTCGAAATATTTGATTCCAGATTAGACAAGGAAAATAATTAGATGAATATGTTCATGAGAGATGTTGGAAATTATGATTTCTATTGCTAATGCAAAAACCAGTTTAATTAGAACTTAAAAATGTTAAGGTATACAAGAATTGATGTATACCCGTGGGACACGAAGAACCGATCTTATAAATGCTGTAGTTTCCTGGAATCCATTCTTCCTTATCAAGTGCAGTGTCATTTCGGAATTTCACGCAAAAATAAAAAAACGTCCAATTTTCTATACGATGCGGCGGTTTGAAATAGTCATCGTTTATGATTGAGGAATAGGGCTTCCAATTCCTATCTAAATCTGTAGGGACACTTTCTGAATTTTTACTAAATTCTACCATCTTGACCTTTATAAAACTTTTTGACCATCCTCGAGACTGTGATTCTGGACAGCCATATTTGCACATTGGTATTGCGTATGGCCCTGGTGGCCACACGCTCTCTTTCTCTTGTCTTTCTGTAAACAAAAAAGAATGTAGATATATTTAAATTTGAAAAACTAACCAAAATAATGTTATAAATAAAGCAAAATGTCTGGTTGCTTCTAGTCGTAATCGTATCTTTATTAAATCATTCACAGTAATCTGTAGCACTTTTTCTACCTATATTACTAATGACTATGTTTCAAAATTTAAAAAAAAATGTGTATTATATAGCCTATACATTTTTTGAAACCTTTAACATATTAAGCAATGAAATGTGTTATGCAAAATGTAAAGTAACTCAATTATTTAAAGTTCCTCTAAAGTAGCAATGTTCTCTTCCGGAGAATGAATTTGAATATTTTATACTTATACTAATTAAATATATAAATAAATATATAAATAAATAGCTAAATAAATAAATAAAATCGAACTTTTTGTGTTGATGATGGTTTAATGTTGCTATTAATATGTATCAAGGGCAAATTGCTCCTCACTTTGTCAGTTGTTTTTCTACCTTTAAAGTCTAATACAATGCCGAGAGAAAACACACTATTTAAAAATGCAAATAAAATGCTACGCGGGTATAGACCTATTTTGAGCGAATGAATTAAACATAACTCCAGTTTTCAGCCGGACTTGGCTCCCAAAATTTTATTATGTTGTCATTAAAATCTGCAAAATAAATTCGTTACAAATGGTTTGTAAATATGCGTAAGTTATATCTTAAAAATACCCTCTACCAGGATCTTGCATTTTATCGGGTTCGGCAATTTAACAACGGCAGTTTAATTTCAAATACCAAATAAATTTTGGTTTGTAAGATATTCATTCAACAAATAGCTGTACAATAATTTATGACCACGGTTGCTAAATTAATATATCTTACCCAACCAGGATCTTAAATTTGTCCGGGTTCTGACAATTTAATAACGGTAGTTCAATTTTGACTGTCCAATTCCGAGATATTCATTTATGAAATTATAGCTTTTCAATAATTCATGACGCGATTGCAACATCATATACCAACTACTATCAGATAAGTGTAAACGTTTCTACAAGTAGTTAAAGCTTAGCGTTGTTGATTTATTTCCTTCTGATTTTTAAGCGCTATTCATTTAGATAAAAATAAAATGTACTTATACAATCCTATATAATATATCACTGCTGTTTCGTCATGTACTTACTATGTAAACATTACTGTAGTTTTAATACAAAAACGACACCCAGAAAAAGAACCTGTTTGTGTGCAATTTTATAAAAGAAATTAAAAATCCAAAAGTCTTTGAATTTGCATAGATGACTAAAAACAGATCTACGGTATATCATTATCTGACAAAAAATCACATGAACCTGAATGACAAAAGGTTCTTTTGGTTCATTTGTCGATTTGTAAGTTATTGTCGTTTTTGTGCGTTCACGTTTTTTTTTTAATTTTAAAGAAAGATTCAAGCCAAACAAATATAGGATAAAGCTTACAATAAACCGTCACATTATGAGTAAAATATCTAATTACGTTTTAAGACACTTGATTAGCACTTTAACTTATCATAAGTGTTTGCCTAAAAGATCAAGTGAATCAGGCAGCTAGTTTTCCATTGTGTGTATGATATAAGTATGATAGGTATGATATAAGTAACTACAAGAAATGAAAACCTTAAATCTTGTCAGACAGGGGTAAATTGAAGACACTTTATGAAGCATGTTAATTTACGCCTGATGATGGAGAGTATTTGTTAATAAAATGTCCCCGTCATGCTTGTAGCACCGAATGCAGGATGTTTCATTTAAAGTAATTTAATTACAGAAGAAGAAATAATAACATCATAAAATTAGTTTTTTATGGCGACTGTCCTTAAACCTATCAATGTGCATAATTCCCTCGGGATAATTTATAGAGTATCTAAGAAAGATACAACACATTGACAATGAATTAATTTCAGTAGAAAAATGAAAAAAAAAATAATGTACGTGAAAGGTCGTCATGAACAGTCATATCAGTGAATAATTAAAGTTTATATTGTTTATTCTAGCTTAATATTCGTGACGTTTATACAATGAAATATTTATGCTGCTTTAATTGTTACAGAGTTTGTTGACAGGTTATATTGCCCTTTACATTGTATAAAGGAATAACACATTTGCTTGTTAAGCTGTCCAGACACATTTATTAAAAAAAAATATTTCCATTAAGCCGAGCATTTAACATTTTCAATTTTGCCGTTTGGATGTTCTTTTGGGATTCTATTTCTCTCTTTTTAATCCCTAAGGAGATGTTCATAGCGGATACGCGAAGCTATATCGCTTGTTTATTAGAATAACATAGATTTTGATGATACTGGAGAGACATCATTATATTATTGTGTTGATCTTTAATAAAATGCCACGGTCAATACTTGTTCTACCATCATCAGTTGATGGAAAATGTTAATAAATAAAAAGTGAAGGACCTCAAATATCATATATGAAATATATGTTATTTTGGACTATTTTACAATTTTTGTCGGAAATTACTCGCAATAAATTGCCCTATGATAGAAAATACAATTAACATAAACGGGTCCGTTTAATTATAATAAGAATTATTTAGTAAATAACTTTTAAATGATTTATCTGCCTCCATGTAAGTTTAAGTCAATCATATTACTGACAGATCTTGGTGAAACAAGGGATGTTTATTGTAGAGTGTTATTATATAAGTTTGCTCAATTACCCGTTTAAGTTATAGCTGTTACTGAAAAGTCAAAATATTCATTTGAAAAATATTATTTAACTTGCTGAAAAAAAATCAACAAAATGACTAATTTTGAGACAAAATAATAAATGATTGAATCCAAAATATAATTATACAAAAAAGGAAAACCATTTTAAATATTCTGTTTGTTTGTGTAACAAATACAGTTGTTACATCGGTCAAAAGAAAAGAGGTTTGGTCGTTGAAATTATGGTGTATCATGGTTGAAATTTTAGCTGTGCGGTTGGAATTATTTATTTCAAGAAAAATAAAACAATGAGAGAAGAGTAGCAACGTTATATCTAGAAACATTTAAACAGTATAATATAGTTAAGACAATTGCCAGAAAAAAAAACCCGAGAGAATACCCTGTCAAAATGTATTATGATCAATTGCAAATGAAAGTAAGTTTTAAACTATGTTTCGGTGTTACATATGATAGCACACATTAACTTAATGATGTAAATACTATTACTGACACACCTGTCTGCCTAATATATTTGTGAAAATGTAAGTAAATACCTACAAGTATAAAAGTGCTTGAAACTCAAAGAAGGATGATTAAAAGCCTTATCATCGACATAAAACGTATACTATTTCCTTCTTTACATATAACAAATGAAATGCATCAAACTCTCAAGCGCAGTTATGGCATTTGCTTAAGCATAAATGAATTGTTATAACATTTTTTCTTGATTTAGAATAAATGAAATACAATGACATTAATTTGAGGATATATGAAAGTGCAGTGGCATTAAGGGAACCACATTAAAAAAAAACACAAGGAAAAAATGTTGCATTTGAATATTTTACATAGATAATGTCGGACACTGAAAACAAATGGATAGTTAGGAAATATACTTCCAATGAACTGAAATTATTCCTAGTCCGACTTAAGTGAAAAGCGTTGCAACGTTTTTTAATTTCAGATCCCTTTTCGCAATTAAAAATAATTATTCTAGAAAAACGTATTTGGGAAATTATCTGAGATTTTGTATACACATTAATAGTCTAGACCTACATCAAATGGAGAATTAATCTTGTAAAATTGGTTCTAGTCCAGTCAAGTCAAAAAAACCTCAGCAGGGCCTCTTTAAACTTTAACATATGTTAAGTACAATGACATTGTTTTAGCATAAAGGTAGAACAAAGACATTTACCTTAGCATATGTGAAATACAATGACAATAATTTTAGCAAATATGACGTAAAATGACATTTTCTTTAGCATATTTGAAATACAATGACATTTTCTGAAGCATATATGATATACTCGGGCAGTGACTATTCTTTCCAGCGTACATTAAAAAATAGCAATTACCACTACATTAACTTGTATGTCAATTTCCCCGAGTCAAAGCTCTACAGCATTCATGGCACAAGCCATCTATCTCGAGCGCAAATCTCTGCAACATAATTCATATAAACGTGCAAACGTGACTAGAGGGAATAAGAAACACAAGATCTGTCCGCGTATATGTCTAGTTTATTCTTATTTCTGGATATTACCAAGAAATTAAAGAGGAATTAAAAACATAATCTGCAAACAGGCACAGCGAAATTGCATGTCCTTGATATTGAACAAGTATTTCAAGATTGAAATGAATATCATTGATGCCAGAAAGGGAATGTAACAAAATGTTAGTATCATGTGCTGAGTAAGAAAATGTATCAATTCTGATAGTGAACATGTATTTCAACGAAAAGTCTATGAGAAAAAGATACTAAACAAAAGTGACTTAGAAATTCGGAATAACTGAGCAACACTGAATTATACGATTTTTCGTTTTTTAAAGTCGAATTCTTACTTAAAAGGTTTAAAATATATCAGTAACAAGACCCCCGCTTGCCGGTATAACGTTTTCATTTTAGTGATATTACTTACCGTAACTCATATTCAGCTTTTCACAAATCACTCTGTTCGTCCCATTTTCAAAACATTTTGAGTATGGAAACTCAGTTGGTTTATAAACAACCTTAGGTTGAAGAAACACTGAAATACATTGAATGCAGAATAAATATTAGCTTTGTTTCTTGATGAGAAAGCTGTGGGTATACAATTCTTCAGATGAACAGCAACGGTAGCAAAATATTCATATTAAAACACTATGACTGATAAACCTTACAGAACATTTTCTTAGTTCTTGCGTATAAACATTAATGAAAAAGTATTAGTTTACATACAAAACAATTGTTGAATTGTATTATTTATAATATATTTAAAAATGAAGATATCACAAATTCTTTATATATGCTCAATCTTTTTGTCACCTGTCAAGTATTTTTTCAAAACAAAGTATAACTACACATTGTTATTTTTGTCGATATCTTTTTGTGTATTTTTTGTCATTTGTGGAGTAACTTTTAACAAGAATGTATCTGTTGATTATTGATTACACAATTTAACATTCTTTCACCTGTCGAAGAGACGGAAAGTACAAATTGTTAATGTTGTTAATACCTTTTATTTTATGTCATCTGTCGAGGAGCTTTTTGAAAGACTGAATTTGTTGTATAAACATTTTATCATTTTGTCACCTGTCGAGTATCTTGTCAATAGATGTAACCTATATATAAATAATTGTTGTCACCTGTCGAGTAGCTTTTTAAAATGACTATCAATGTTGGTATTTTCATATAATCATTTTGTTATCTGTCGAGTCATTTTTCGAGAGACAGAAACAACGGATGGTTTATATTGTTGATATATCTTATCATCATCAATTTGTCGATTTTTTTAAGTGAAAAACTATTGTTTGTGAATGTTCTTACTACATATTATCATTGTTTACCTGTGCACTAGATTTTTAAAAAAATATAATTGAGACATGCTTCTATTTGAAATAATTGTCAATCAATGCTAGTTTTTGATGCATATAGAGTAGCTTTAAAAAAAGAAAGAAAAAAAGATGATATAACTAAGAAGAGATCGTTGATGTTGTTAATACTTTAATATATGTGACGCGCTCAGCGATTATTGGCCCAATTTTGTTTTTAATCAGTGTGAGAAAAACGCTTGCAAAGTCACGCGAGTTTTCATGTCTTGATTTTTAGAGTTTCCTTTCAAAACAGAGTTTAATTTTAAGTTGTAAGCGTAGAAATAAACTTGAAAATAAATCAAAAATACTTTTTGAACAGCCCTTCTCAGCTTCCACACGAAAAATATCTCCCAAAAATCTATATTTAGAATAAATACACCGTGTAAACTCAGGAGTCGGGTCAGCGAGTAAACACATGTAGATTTACTACCTTTTACGTCAGTTCTATGTTACTGTACTTGTTTAAATAAATATTAAGGTAAGTGCATCTTTTATTATTTATGCTAATTTTTGTTCATTATTTTTTTCTGATTTGTTGAATAATCATCGTATTTTTACTATAAACAAGACCATGTCTACTTGAACTGGTTTATAAATAAAAAAAACATAGCAGGCATCTAGGTCAGGTCATGACAGATAAAAATTTTGGGATACATTTATTATTACACTCGATTTGTAGTTGTCAGGGTCTTTATAGAAATTTATTGTTATTTTTTTCTAAATTAGACATTGATTACATTACAAAAATAAATTAAAGTCCTGGCTGAAATGAAAATATTAAACACGTGATAAAACAAAACATTTTTGTTATAATATTTTTCTACATCACTGGGACAAAAATGTAACTGGACACATAGCGTATTTTGAAATTTGTTTTTCAATGAATGAGCTTGTTATAGATCTACATCAATTAGATTTATATTGTATAAAAAATTTCTAAAAAAATCAGTGTAAATTTTAAAGGAAATAAATGACAAGGCTACTGTACTGTAATTATTGACAAATGAATTTCTATTGCAATTCAAGATCCAATTTAGTATTATAAGTAAAGAAAATGTTATCAGGGCTGCACTGCATGCAACTTTTAAAATACAATAAATAGATATAGTACTGCTATTGAAGATGTCACCATAGATAAATATCAAAAAATTATTATTATTATTATTATCCTTTTAGTAGTTAAAGTATCTACAATAAATCATATTATATTGGCATTACTCAAAGTCATGAATACCACATACATGTAGCATACTCTACAAGCACGGCTTCCATTAAGGTTCCAAACATAGGCAGTCAAAGATTGCAAAATGTCTGTCATTGGAAGTCACATTACAGGTAAAAAAGGAAAAGCATTACATTTTGGAAGCCAAAATCAAGGAGTAAATGACTCCTAGTCCTAAACTTCCACTAACAGAAGCCCTGCTACCAGGGTATTTCAATCATTTATGAGCCAGTACTTTTTTGCTGATGAAATATTTTGTGTTGTAATTTTAGGTCAGCCAATATACATTAAAAATTTTAAAGAAGATAATACCCAGCATGTTGGAGCCATATTCTTCAAGACCACAAGGAAATGTACTCGTAAATGTTTTGATACTTGTTCTTATGATCAAATGATTTACTATGAATGTAATCATTGTTGCAAATAGCATTTTATATGATGTCAGATAAGAAGTTAAAAATATTGTTTTAAAATTAAATAACTCTGTACAGTTACAGGCAGTAAATATAAAGTTTATATTTAGAAATAATGTTGTATTGTTTTATGCAAATAATGTTAACCTCTTAAAGTACATACTGTATACACGTTGTACATAATTTTCAGAACACATAGATAGTTCGCCTAATTGCTGATGAATATACTAAACTTTTGTTGGAAATGAGGCACCATGTACGACATCTATGCCCTATTGAGCACCAGGGTTATGGAGTAGAAAAGACAATCACTTTGTATCAACTGCACAGTATTTGTCAACATAAAAAGCACTTCAATTGGGTAAGCATACATAAATGTATATATTAATATGCAGTATTCCATTTTAAATTCTTTAATTTGTGAAATAAATAGTGAGGTGACTTTACCACAATGCATGCATATAATGTAGATTCAGATTATTTTAGACATGTTCAAGATGAATGTGACTGCTCCATGTACATGACATATAGACTGTAATATATTACACAAGAACTTACATGGACAAGACCTTATTAGAACCAAATAGCTGTGCAACACTTTACAACAATTTACTTGAATTCATTTCTGTGAAGTCAAATTATTATATCTACACTATATTGTTTCATTTATTCTAATTCAGGTTTTTGTTATTTCAGGATGGCATGTGAGAAGTCAATGACTTGTAGAAGACCTATGTTTGACAGTATATACCAAAGTGAATTACATTCTCATAGAATTTATGTCATCAGAAGCATCCTTGAAAAAGCTGAAATCTGCAGTGGCAGATGCTACAATATTTTGACTTCATTGTGAAACAAGTTTTTGCAAGTTTATGAATCACTTTTTCACTGCTTACAAAAACTGAAGGCATATGAGGAGACATGGTTGTTGTTACCCTGTATGGATCAAACCCTCAAACTGGGGTTGCAGGACTACATTCAAGGACAAAAGTGATCTGTCATTTGTGACTTTCCATGTGTTTGCAAAATCTGTTATTATAATTGTTTTAATTTATTGAAATTATTTCAATTTAAAGATATATTATGTATATAAAATGTTATTCATATTATACAATTTAAAATACACTGATAAGAATATGGTTACACCGTCAATATCTGTAACTAAACATATAATCAGGAAAATAACAAGTGCAAGATCTTTCTATTTTTTGGTTAAATTTCTGAAAGACCTTTGAAATTATTGTGAATACAATTATTTGATATGGAATTTTTTTATAAGATGCCATTATTTTAAATCATACAGTTTTTTTGGCGTTTTTTTAGCATATTTTTTGTTACCATGGTAACTAGAAATACACCATTTTTGTAATCAATGCATAAAAGAATTATTTTTTTGCATTGGATTTATAATTTATATGCTATCATGTTTCAGATATGTGGTTTAAAGTGGACTATCTTAAGTTATGATATTCGCCTCAATCATGGAAAGTTACTGAAATTCTGAGAATTTAATCCTTACATTTTTATTTATTATCAATAACACTTAAAGGGAAAAGTGAAAAATCCTTTATTTCTTTTTCTGAAAAGTCTTAAATATTGTTGTCTTTTGATATAATATAAATTTATGCATTAATTTGGTGATGAATTAATCATATTAAATGCAAAAATATTGCATTTGATGATTTTTTTTATTTTTGTTGCCATGGCAACCGATTATTGACACAAATAATAGTTTTTATATCAGGATATAACATTTATTACACCAAGATGAATGATAACTTTATGTTTTGTTTATTTTATTGTGTCTAACTATGGAATTATTTCTAGTTTAGATATACCAATAAAAGTTTAAAATGCTATTTTTTTGTTGTTATGGTGATGTCATACAAATTAGAATATTTCATAAAATATCAAGTATTCTTAAAAAATAATTGTTGCCAGATATTCAGCAGATGTTTTTCTACCACAAACTAGTCATAACTCATTTTCGCCAAAATGTATCACATTTGGGCCAAACATCGCTGAGCTTGTCACATATTATTTAGACAACAATATTGTCAACGTACACGAAACAATCATATCAGAGGGTAATACCCTTACTATATAAAAATGTATAAACTAGAACATTATTATATGTTTGCAAAAAAATATTTTCTTTTTCCCATGGAATAAGTGAAATGAAATACTATAAACAAAGGCCATGTTAACATTTTCATCCCCCGCAAAATGTGTTTGCTTAATGGGAGAATATATATGCAGTATAGCAGAATAATTAAATTTAAGAGGTCTCTTGGTAATGAAAACTGATGGCAGAAGTAATAACATATTTGAAACCTATGTTAATACCGATGGCTGAAAATAGCAATGGGCAATAACTGAAAAATAATGCAGGGAAGGTTATCATTCTTGTGAACTGCACTCCTTCTCAATAAGATCTGTCCACCTATGAAATTTCAAGTTTATACCATTAACACTTTTTGAGATAAGCTCCAGACAAAAAATATTAACAATAATAAAGGACAACAACTCAAAAATTATA